TAAAATATATCTTTAAAAAAAAAAAGATCTGTGATAGAATCTCTTAGAATTCTTGTGTCCAAAGGAGACTAATTGTAGAAAATTAATGTCTAAGACAAGAATCACTGGGTCAAAGGCACAAATATTTTTAAGGTGATGAATTGTACTGGATGTTGTGAATGGGTACTTGCCAACATTCATTTCACCCCAACTTAAGTGGGCATGATAAAACAGAATTTAAAACTGGCTCCAGATCCAGGGATAGCTCCTGATTTGTCTAAACCAGAGGTTAACAATCTTTTTCTATAAAGCATCAATCAGACAGTTGTATTTTTCCTTTATAGGTTATATGGTCTCTGTTGTATCTACTAAACTCTACCCCATGCTGTGAAAGCAGCCATAAATAGTAGGTAGTGACTTGGTGCAACTGTTCCAGTAAAATTTTCTTTGCAAAAATACATGATAGACCTTTGGTCTCAAATAATGATAATCCCACCCCTTTGTAGTAGGATGGAAGCCATAGAGTATTGGTATTTTTGTGATTGGCTTACCACACTTAGCATATGTCATCAAGGATTATCCATCTTGTAACATGTGACAACTTTTTAAAGCTGAACAATATTCCTTTGTATATATATACCACATTTTGTTTATTCATCTGTCTATGGACAACTTTTGGCTCTGATGAATAATGCTATTAAAAATGTGAGCGTATGTATGTTTCTTCAAGACCTGTTTTCAGTTTCCTAGGATATATATCTAGAAGTGGCATTGTTGGATGAAATGGTAGTTTTATTTTCAAATTTTTGAGAGATCATCATACTGTTTTCCATAGCAACTGCACCATTTTACATCCCAAATTAGAACCTAATTCCTAATTCACCATATCCTCACCAGCATTTATTTTGGGTTTGTTTGGTTTTTTAATAATACCATTGTAATAGGTATAAATCTTCTGATTGTAATTGCATTTCTCAGTGATTATTAATATTAAATGTCTTCTCATGGGCTTGTTAGCCATTTGTATGTCTTCATTGGTGAAATGTCCATTTGAGTCCCTTGCCCATTTTTTTAACTGGGTGTTTTTTTTTAATTGTTGGTTTCAAATGTTTTATTGTAATCCATAATAACATTCTACAATGCAGCTTAGAATACACTGCATGTATATTTGCAAAATAATAGCAACATACAATGGCATTTATAATGATGAAGTAAACTATAATTAATGTGAAAAATTACAGATACACTCTCATATTTATTTGGTAAAACAGGGTTGTGCTTCAAAGCCACAGCTTAGTTTCTCTGTACTTGGAGAGCACTCCTTATGTATAACCACTATGTAAGGTGAGCACAGACAAATGTGGGTGCTATACTCTGTCAAGTAGCACTTTCAAATGACTAAATGATTTAATTGTTTGAAAAGAAAAACTTAACCCAACCAAATGTTTGCTTGTTTTTCAACTATTTTGTTTAAAAATGTTCCCAGTGTGCTACACCACATGGCCTAAGAGTTAGAAGGCTGGACCACCTAGGTTTGTGTAATGACATTTGCACAATGAGGATGAAATTGCCTAACAACACACTTCCCAGAATGTATCCCCATAATTAAGAGATACATGATTGTAGTACCAATGATAGGTTTAATGCAATAGCTAACAGAATCCAGTTTCCAGTTCATATTTTCTCAATTTTTATTCTGAAAAAAAAAAAATTAAATCTAAAGAAATGTTTATAGAACTATCTCATGACCATTTTTATGCCTTTTGTACATGCCAGTTAACATTATGCCACTTTGCATTAATATTTGCTCTTTGTCTTCATTCCCCTCAATCATCATAATTTCAAATCATGATGCTTCACCCCAATTCCTTTAGAATATATTTCTTAAGTACAAAAAACAAAAATACCATTTTTACATTCAAGAAATAATTCCGTTTTCAAGCCCCCTCCCCCATCTTTATAATGACCTTTCTAACTAGTTGTTTTTTTTTTCAGTTTGGGATCAAGAATTATATGTATTCTTGTTAGCCTCTCTTTAATCTCAAACTCTTCACCATCTTGTTTGTTTGTTCTTTTGCGTTGCATGGTTTTTGATTTGAAGAATTCAGACTGGTTGTGTTGAAAGGTTAGACTTGTTTGATTGTTTTCTTGTGACTAGTTTCAGATTAAATATTTTTGGCAAGAATACTATACAGACTATACAGGTGGTCTTGTGTCCTTCTCAGGACATTACACCAGGAGGCCCATAGCTGTATGTACTAATATTGGTGATGTGGTTTGAGCATTTGATTTAAAGTGGTGGTCGCCAGAATTTCTTCATATGAAGGTACTTATCTTTCCCTTTGTCATTAATAGGTAATCTGTGGGATGATAAATTTAAGACTATTAAATATGCTGTTGCCCAACAATCTTTCATGATAGTTTTAGCATCCATTGGTAATTTTCATCCGGATCATAGTGGATGCTTGGTGATTTTCTAATTCTGTAATTAATTTCTATATGTATTATGTGTCACACTTCTTAAAAAACAAGTTTTTCCCTCACTTTCCCCCATCGGTTTTTAAGTGTCATTATGGATTCATGGATTTTCTAATTTAATTTTGGTTAAATTCATTTCAGGTTCTCTTTTACATTTCTCCAGTGAATAAGTTGGTGGGTGCCCTGATGACTGTGTTATCCCTTTTTCCAGGTAAGATGGTCACAGCATTTACTTATCCTTTGTTTAACTTAAATTGGAACTTTCAATGATAAAAGTTTTCAAGGCTGAACACATTAGCATTTGCTTTTTTAATTTTAATATTTCAACAGTTCTTTTTGACATTAGGTTTATGGGAGAGCTCCACTATATAGAAAACAACATATAACTTTTATTTTCTTCAACCTTGTTATAAGCCATGCTGTTCTCCAATATTGATATTTTAGGCATGATTGAACACGGTCTCAGTGACTGTTCTCAATACAGACCCCGAAAGAGTATGTCTGAAGATTCTGGGCTTCAAGAAAGTAATCCCCCTGCAGATGATTTTGTTTCTATGCCTGTTCCTGACATTTCAAATACTGACTTGGGAACTGTCAAGAAAATCACGACAGGAAACCATGGAGGAGATGCTGCTATTAAGATTGAAGATACTTTGTTCCAAGTAGATGACAACAGCAGAGGACAAGAACCCAGTGACAACAATCAATATTTGAAACTTCCTACTCGTCCTTCTCCAGAATCTTCGGAAAGTGACTGGGAGACCCTGGATCCTAGTATCTTAGAAGACCACACATTGAAAGAAAGGGAACTGGTAGAATCAGAACAGACAAATGCATTTTCAAAAGACTCGTTGCCCTCCGACAGCCCTCCAATTACTGTGCAACCTCAAGCTAATACAGGCCAGGTAGTCCTGATACCAGGTCTAATTTCTGGTTTGGAAGAAGACCAGTATGGCATGCCCCTGGCCATTTTCACAAAGGTAAAGCTTGATGTCCTTTAGAATTTATCTTTTGTTAGATACATATTAGGGTCCGAACATTTTCCTTGGAAACTGAACATACATATCAAATATATACTGCTATGTGTAAAATCTATGACCGTAGTGTAAGCCTGTAAGAAATTAATTCAGAGGGAAATTGGACAGAGGATATTCAAATATTACATTTCTAAAAGCTGCCATTTTATAAGGAAAAAAATGCTTATGGGTTGACTTAATTGTGATTAATCTTGTTTTTTGTTTTACCAACTAGAGCAGGGAAAGATCACAGATTTTTAATTTTATGTAAAATTTTGCTTCAAAAAAATGTTTAGATGGCTAATTTACATATCTGTATACCTTGTAATATAGTATTTGGGTTAACTTTCCCTATATAGTGTTATTTTTTTTAAGATTTATTTATTTATGCATATAGAACTGGGGTACAGGCCAGAGGTGCAGGGGCAGTGAGAGGATTCACCAGAGACAGAGTGGGGAGCAGAACAGGCAGATTGACAAAGTACACTGCTGAGGGGAGCAGCGGGCAGGTCAGGAGAGGTTTGCCGTGCCTAAATAGTATTTTTTAATCTTTATGAAAAACTATTTAAGATCTATTTGTCACTTTTTAAATAACAAATACAACATAGTAAATCATATTATATCTTTGATTTAGGATATTGTCCCTGAGCATGCATTTCTTCTACTGCTCTACTCTCAAGTCTTTATGGGGAACCAATAAGGTAACCCAAAAAGAGGAAGAAAATTAACTGTACCTTTGTGATATATATATATATTCTGCAGTATTATCCCATTTTGCCACTAGAGAACAGTTAAAAGAGGGTGAGGAAATGGAAAAAAGATAAAAGAGGAAGTTAGGGTAACTGTTTTCAGATGTGAAAAATCAGTCCTGAGGGCTCCCTACCTTACTTCTGAAAGAGATCAAGATAGAATTGGCAACACACTGTTGCAAAGTAGAACAGTATCAGCCAGAAAGGACCTGGGTTTTAGGATACTTGTTTATTTTAATCTCTTTAGTTATCTTTCCTCGCCTACTTTCCAGTTATCAGATAATATTTACTATTTAGTAAAAATCAATTGTATCTCTTACCATAAATGGAACTCTGGTTCAAAGGAACCTCACTCTTAACTGAATAAAAGTGATTTTCACTATTTGTATTTGAGGAGTAAGGAAGATAATTTTAGGCAAACCACTAAAAACACTTCCAACATAATTTTTTGGCATCTTTTAAAAGATCAACAGTCGGAGCTGTCCCTGGTGGCGCAACAGGTTAAGGCACCACATTATGAAACTCTCTGAAGCCACTGCAACACGAGTTCAATCCATAGCCAGGGAGCTGACCCACATGGCTTGACAAACCACTCCTGACCCGCCCACTGTTTTCCTCAGCAGGGTACTTTGTCAACTGCCTGTTCTGCTTCCCGCTTTGCTCTAGTGAATCTTCTCACCCACCACCCTTCTGGCCTGTATCACAGTTCTGTAAACATTAATAAATAAATCTTTAAAAAAAAGAACAAAAAGATAAGCAGTCACTTTTCAGTTTAAGTACATATATCAGATACTTTTTTAAATACACAATTGCCTCTACCAGAAGATGATTTAATTTAGAATTATCCTAAACTTTAGTTTGTAACTTTTTCAGTAAAACGATGAATTTGTAAAAGTGAAAAGTTCGTGTAAGTGAACTTTATGTATTGCTTTTGGATTTATATTTGGTTTACTTACTTGTAGGTAGTCATTTTCAAACTTTAGGGAACCTACAAATTACTTGATTAAACTAGTTGAAAAGTTGTGGGTGCATGTTTTATATATTTTATTTCTATGGAACTTATTTTCTTTCCTCTCCACATTGTATTTAGTCTCATCCATGTTTTTGCATTAAATTGCATATTACTTCCTGTGTAGTTTGCTATTTTCAGATAGTCTGCAGTTTATTGATGGCATTTTTTTTCAGTAATTGCTAATGAGATTGAGCGTATTTACATGTTTTTGCTAACCATGTGGATTTCCCTTTGCGTGGTATTTGCTCTGAACTTGTTTCCCTCATGCCTGATTTCCAGGACTGCCTATATTTTTAGATATCCTTCTCTTTATAAAATTTTTACTTTATGATTAATGTCCCAGAAGCTTAAGAAATCCTCTCCTACCTGTAGGTCATGAAAGCAATCTCCTATCTTATCTTCCTAAAATTTTAGAGTTTTTGTTTGTTTTTGAAGCTTTATATTCGTTGAAGATGAACTTTGCCCTTTATGACTTCAGGCTGTCTACTGTTTCCAGTAGTTGAATAGTAGGGCTCCAGTCTTTTGTTATAATAAACAATGCTATAATAAATAGTTCTTTTACAAATTTCACACATTAACAAATGTATCTGTAGGATTAATTATAAAAAATTGAATACTAAGTGAGAGGATACAAATATTTACATGTTTAAAGAATATTTTTTCATACTTTTCAAAAGCTTTGCACTGTTTTATTTTTTTTTTAATTATACTTAGTTTTCATGCTTTCAAAAATTAACCAAGAATTCCCTTATTGACAACAGACTTTTTTCCAGATATTAAATTATGAAATAGAATACTGGAAACAATTACATTCCCTTCTTATTATTTTGCAATATAAATCTTTTGTAATAGATACACCAGTTCTAACAGTGCCTTTAACAGGAAGTGTTCTCACTTTTAGTTGGGAGAGTAAGTTTTCTGGGGACCACCTAAGTTTGCAAGAGTATTCAGTATTGCAATTTCTATGTTTAGAAACAGGGAGTCTGTGGTTTCTTTATACCTAGTACATGATGAGCATGAACTGTAAGTGAACCGGGTGTTTCAACTAATTCTGAATGAGGAACTGGGGTTTTCTGAGCCTTTAGTCACTGAGAGGCATTACTTGAGAAGCATGATACTGAGAGGGCTCTTATTACATAGACTTGTATTTGTTTTTGCTGCTTTTATTAGAGTTGTATTGATCTGTAAGGCATTGTCAAGAATAAGAATAAAACCTTATCCCTAGACCTGTATTACAACTTTTCTAAGTCTTTAACAGCTATCTGTAAGGTTTAAGCACATCCTAGATGCAGTGAAGAACATGAAGTAACAAGAGATCTATCTCTTGCCCTGTTGTTTTTGTTTGTTTGTTTGTTTGTTTTTAAGGGTGTTAAAAATCTGTTAGGGAATTGGAGATTACAAGCAAGTTCAGAAGTAGCTTATCTGCCCTACTGGCTTCAGACACAAATTTTGCCACCTGCTAAAAACTTCTTGGTGTAGTCTTTCAGCAGAAGTTTAATTTCTTCTTTTGTGCATCATTCCGATATTAACACTTCATTCTCAGGAAATATGCTGGGTTTTGTACACTTGACTGCTTACTAACTGGACAGTTCAACAGTAATGTTCAGTTAAACACACAACTACTGCCAGGATCATTTTTGCTTTAAGCACTTAATAGCATGCATCTTAAAATATTTGTCATGACTAAATAACAAAAATAATGAACAACCATATACCAGAGACATTTTGCGGGGATGGAGTGGGGAATGGGATCAAAAACAGGGAGGTGGGGAGGGAAGCGCATGGGATTATGGTGATGGCACATGGGTGACTTGGTGATGGAAAACCCGCGGGGATTGCAATTGAGATGGCAAAAAAAAAAAAAAGTACAAAATGATGTAAAAATAAACTGTTATAAAATAAAAAAATATATATTTTTCATGACTTTAAAGCTGTAGCACAATAAAATGCTATGTGCTGTGCTTTTCTACTTCTCATAAAAGTACTTTGGTGATTATGGCCAGATGCAAGTGTTTTCAACTTTTACTGGAATAAATAGCTTTCTACCAAGCAACATACTTTTAATGGGCTTAATACTTCATTTCCTAAATGAAAAAGTTCAGCTCATTAGTTACTGTGAAGGCTCTTAAAGTAAACCAAGAACAAAATAAAGTGATCACATAAGATAACCCTCATGTTAAACAACCTTGATGAAATTTGACCATTTGTGAGCAACATTAGCAATCACCTGCACTTAACTTGAGGTTCTCCTGGAATATGACTGTAGTGAGTTAAAGATCAGCTCCTTCAGGACTGTTGTGGGGTTGGGCAGGTTAGGAATTTCTTCTGCACTTACCTACCATTTTTATGATTAGCTCTCTAGAAGAGAGAGGTAGCTGTTCTGATGTTTCTTATTTATTCTCGTAATTCATAGGGATACCTGTGCTTGCCCTACATGGCACTGCAGCAGCATCATCTTCTCTCTGACGTCACCGTCCGGGGATTTGTTGCTGGAGCTACTAACATACTTTTCCGACAGCAGAAACACCTCAGTGATGCCATTGTGGAAGTAGGTATACATGAGAGTGTGTGTCCATGATGCTGCTGGTCCCAGTTTTCCTTTCTTAAATGCCATTATGAAGGCATTGTTACCTGTATGCTGCGCGTTCTAAGCACCTTAAGCTTATATTCATAATCTGTGAGATAGATTTTATTCCTGTCTCTATTTGATACCTGCGGGAACGAAAGAGCAGAGTGCTCAAACCATTGCTAAGTGATGAGGCAGGATTCCAGCCCAGGCAAGGTGGTCGGTCCTGCTACAATCTCACAGTTAAAAAGCGTTTATTAGTCAAATAGTTTAAATACTTCTATACTATTTAATAGCTCCAGTTATCAAGAGGAAGAAAGCAAGGGATAAATACTTGCTACCATAATAATAGGTGAAAAATTAAATCATTTGTTCATTTTCACAATTGAAGTAATTTTTAAAAATTTTCAGCGACCTGTTTTTGTATTTTCTGACATAAAGTACCAAATATGCTTCTTGAGAAAATGTTCATAATATGATAAATGAAAAATCTAGAACTATATGTATTGTGATCCTAACTTTGAGGAAGGAAAATATAGATCTTCCAAGGCAGGAGAATACAGATGGGAAGACATTATTGGTTATGTTCTACTTTTGAAGTTGGGTGGAGAATCACAGATTTGTTTTATCACTAGACGTCAAAAGAAGTAAACTACGTTATTTTTTTGTATCTCCAATTTTATATAATAAAAATATTCCAGTGTTTCTGTGCTTTCAAGAAAAAAAATGTTAAGGAATTAATAGTAGTTAATTGTGTGTATTGCCAAATGGGTGATTAAGATAGTTTTTAATTGATATTTCTGTATTTCCTAAAATATTAATTTATTATCACTGAATTCTTTAACTCAAAGCTATAAATCTGTTTTATATATATATATATATTTTTTTTTTAAGATTTATTTATTCATACAGAGCTGGGGTACAAGCCAGAGGTACAGGGGCGGTGAGAGGCTTCACAGTAGGGAGCATAGCAGGCAGATTGACAAAGTACACTGTTGAGGGAAGCAGTGGGCAGGTCAGGAGAGGTCCGCTGTACCATGTGGGTCACCACCAGGACTGTGATTGAACTTGCACTGAAGCGGTTTTGGCCAGCTTGCCGTGCTGCATCCTAACCCTTTACACCACCAAGTAGGGCCCAAATCTGTTGTATATTCTAAAGCACAAAATGAGCAGTTTTTTTAAATAAAGGAAACAAACTACAGTGTGAAACATGTATCTCAGAGTCATCATTTGAGGATGAGGATGGAATTATTCCTATTTCTAATTTCCAGCTTCACCTTCCCAGTAGTTAACTCTTTAATGTGTGCTTTGGATATCTGTGTGAATGCCTACACTCTGACTTGTACCGGGTACCCTTTAGGTAGAAGAAGCTCTCATCCAAATCCATGATCCAGAACTCAAGAAGCTGCTTAACCCAACTACTGCAGACCTAAGATTTGCAGATTACCTAGTGAGGCACGTGACAGAGAACAGGGATGACGTCTTCCTAGATGGCACTGGCTGGGAAGGAGGTGACGAATGGATCCGAGCTCAGTTTGCAGTCTACATCCATGCTCTGCTGGCTGCCACTCTCCAGTTAGGTAAGAAATACACAGCTACTTTTATACTTTGTAGCACATATGATGTTTGAATTATATAAGAAACACACCTCCAGTACAGAAACATTCCCTCACACAGAGATAGCATGTTGAGTACTTTATATCCTTGTAGACCTGTTCTACAATTTGGATTTTAGTTTTGTGGTATTTGTGGTGACCCTTGAATAAAAATTATTCCCATTACACATTTTTTGAAACTTAGTGTTTCTTATTAATAAATACAGCTCTTTGACACTTTTCCATGACTGTTTAATATTCCATAGATGGAAGCATGTATCAGTATTTCGGGTTATTTATAAATACTACTTACATGTTTTAAGATAGATGAAGGGACAAAATAGAAATAGGACAAAAATCATTGGTAATAACATTTTGAAGGATTAAACCTTCAAATTTATGCCCCATTCTAAGAATTACTATTCCTATTAAATGGTTAACATGGTACAAGTAAACATAGAATTACTCCTGTATGAAAACGAACTCATTTTATATACACACACACACATTTTATATATATATAAAGAGAAATAAAAGTGAATCTCTGAAATGAGATTTCTCATCTTGGACACATTACCTCCCAGGATAGTTGGTAAATAGTCAGTAGATTTGCTGTTATTGAAAGTGTTGAATTTTTTTTTTTTCTATTACTATGAACTACAAATAACCTAATATTTATCATCGTAACTACTTCTAAGTGTAGCATCCTACAGTGGCAATAAGTACATTCACATTGTAGTGTCATTAGATTTTCTTAATGAGCCCTATCACTCCCACCCCTAGACTGGTTACTCATAAAGTGTGTAGGGTGTTTTACACCCAGGCTTCAGGCATGTTCTTCATCTCTAAAGGAAAGCTATGGGACAAGTCTTGTTTGTTTTTGGTATATTTTTAGATAACTGCCTCATCTACAAATATATCAGCTGAAAACCAATTCTTTAAACCACAATCATTCAGTGATCTAATAAGAAAAACTTAGTTTATTAGTCATGTAATTAGTTTACTTTTTTTTAATTTATGCATACAGAACTGGGATACAGGCCAGAGGTGCAGAGGTGGTGAAAGGATTCACCAGAGACAGAATGGGGAGCAGAACAGGCAGCTCAATGAAGTACACTGTAAGGGGAGAAGCAGACAGGCCGGGAGTGGTCTGCGGCGCCATGTGGATCACCTCCAGGGCTGGGGATTAAACTCACACTGAAGCGGCTATGGCTAGTTTGCAGTGCTGCATCCTAACCCAATGTACCACCACGGAGGGCCCTTAGTTTACTTTTTAAAAGATTCGTCTAGCTAGCTGTAAGCACAGGACAGTAGCTACCCTTTGCTTTTGACACTTTTTATTACCTTTTTTTTTTTTTTAAGTTATGTATGCAGTATCTATTCTGAGCACTTTATATCTACTGACTCATTTCATCCTCACAAAAATTATGCAGGTAGATACCTTGTCATTCCGTTTTTATAGAAAAGAAAGCCAGGCACACAAAGGTTAAATAGGCTTGCTCATCTATCTGGATGAGGTTGACCTAGAATTTAAACCCAAGCAGTCTGACTCAGACTCATGCTGTTAACCTAATAAGAAGAGGAAATCCATGCTTGAGAAATATGTTCTTAGAAGAACTTCCTTATGCTGCATTATCTACATATGGAAACAGTTATCTCCTCTGTTTTTCCCAGCAACAAAAGATACTTCTTACTTTCAGAGCAAGCAGCATGCTATTAATATACGAAGCAATAGCAATATGAGTTAGTTCTCTCACCTTTCTTAATCTTCCAGGTAGAAGAAATAGTCTTCATGCATCTTTGTAGCTTCCACATAATATTGACATAGTTGAAAGTTTTAAACATTAGATATGAAAACCCCCTTGTTATTTTGACAGTTAAATTCATGGAAGCTCAAAAGTGAGTTTTACCAGCTAGTGAGACAAAATCCACAGGACAGAAGATGTCATTTAAAGAACCAATTCGTGTATTCATCCTTACTCTTTTCTCCATAGAAAAATAAGATTTGTGGGCCTCCCTGGTAGCACAAGAGATTAAGTCTCAGCACTATGAAGCTGTCTGCAGCCACTGCAACAGGATTTTGATCCCTGGCCAAGGTGCTCACCCACGGCACAGCAGTCCTCTCCTGTCTCGCCTTCTGCTCCACTCAGCAGTATATTTCAATAGATCTGCTAGTTCTGTTCCCCCTTCTGTCTCTGGTGATTCCTCTTACCCCCTGTACCTCTGGCCTGTTGGCCTGTACCCCAGCTCATACATGCATAAATAAATAAATAAATCTTTTTTTTTTTTTTTTTAAAGAAAAATGAGATTTATGAAAAGACAGAAAGATACTATGCCTACCCATATGTGTACATCAGTCTGTTTACTCATTGTCCAGTCCATAGTAATATAATGCTTTCTAACTTTGGTAAGCAGAACATAGAAATATTTTGAAATTACAAGGAACTTTATAAAATATTTGGTTTGGCCCTCTATTTTCCAGTAAGGAAAATGAAATTACCGTAGGTCACAAAACTTCTCAACAGGATTTCTGGAACTAGGGCCAAGTTTCCTGATATCAGGTAGACTGCCCTCTCCCCGCCTCCCAGAAAAAACAGGGGTTTAGAGGGAGGGGGGCAGCAAAACCATCCCTTTACCTTTTTTGGTTGTTAATCTTTACATCCCTAACTGACTACAGTCCAGCTCAAATTTTAACTATTTACTTGACAGATAATGAAAAGATAGTATCGGACTATGGCACAACGTTTGTTACAGCATGGAAGAATACTCATAATTACAGGGTCTGGAACAGCAACAAGCATCCAGCACTTGCAGAAATAAACCCAAAGTAAGTATATTCTCTGAAGATTGATGGATAGGCTGTGATGTAGTTGATTTACTAAGTATGCCCAATATAAGGAAATTATAACTTAGCTTTGATGATGTGCATATCTTCCAGAATCTCCTTAAACAGATGATAAAAAGAGCCCCAGATACAGAGAAACAGCTAAAAACTGCTTCCTTAGTCCCACTGCTACACAGAAAGCTCGAGGCATTTTTGGAAGCCCTAACATTATTCCTAGCCCTCAGCATAAATTCACAGAGAAAATCCTAGCACAAAGCAATGTGTAATGCATGGTATTTCTTCCCTCCCTTTCTCTGGATCTAAACCTTAACAGAATGGTCAAACAAGATAGGTGCCTTTAAGAAAATACCATTGGTATTAAATCCGAGAGCTTATTTTATTTTTCTATTGAGATATAATTGATATATAGCATATTCGGTCAGGTATACCTCATAATGTTTCACTGTGTACATTCCCAAATGATCACCACAATAAATGTAGTTACCATAGAAAGTTATAAACTTTTTTCTACTTAAAGAGAACTTTCAATAGCTGTCTTAGCAACCCTCAAAAGATGCTATACAGCATGGACTCCAGTCACTAATGCTGTGTTCTAGGTCCCTTAGACATTATTTTAAAACATGAAATTTCAAAACTAAAATTGATATTTGGACGACTAGACATGTATCCAAACCTAGTTTCCACAATAGGTGCGAAAATTCAAAAGAAATTCACACCTGTTACAATAGACATAAGATACATTTAAATATGCTGTGGATTGAGGCATATATGAACTAAAACCATCTGTGTGAATGGAACAGAATAGAGCTGGAGATCAAACGATGTAATGTATTGTACACCCTGGGAATTTACTTCCTAAATTAAAAGATTAAAATGGTGGTGTTTTCAATGATGCACCTATACACTGAATGTTTTCATTTGCATTTTAAACTTCTATTTCTTTTTTTTTTTTAAAGATTTATTTATTTATGCACACAACAATTGGGGTACAGGCCAAGGAGTGAGACAATCCACCAGAGACAGAGTAGGGATCAGGACAGGTAGATCTACTGAAATAACACTGCTGAAGGGAGCAGTGGGCAGACAAGAGAGGTCTGCTGCACTGTGTGAGTCAGCTCCCTAGGTGGGAGTGCTGCAGTGGCTGCTGATAGCTTCACAGTGTTGTGCTTTAACCTGTTGCACCACCAGGGAGGGCCCTTTTAAACTTTTATTTCTTGGTGAGAAGCAAACAAAGCTCACCTTTGTACTGAATACAATATTATTTGGGAACTAGGATTGATTTTGCCAGACTGAAGATGTGATTTAAATGGCACTAGGCAGGATGCACAACAGCATACCAAATCCAGATATTTATGACATAGTAACTTGGGGAGGCATCTGCAAGGATAAAGGGATACAGCAGGGTTTTAGTTGCCATGTCCAACTTTATGTCCTCTGTGGAGAGAAATGGTGGTTTGCTGCTAAATTTGGTAAATTTAATCATACCTAATGGTAACAGAAACAAATGTGGTTAAAAACAGAATTAGAAGGCATTCTATTAAAAACATTTAAATAGTACTAAAGGAAAGTTAAGAAATTTCAAAGTAATCTCCCTCTCTAACCACAAGCTCTGTGTTCTAAAGAGTGATGAAGGGAAACAGATGTGAAGGGAAACAGATGTGAAGGGAAACAGCTGTTTGCCTGGTGATTTCATAGTGAGGGGGCTCCAGTCAGGTCCATCATGACCCACAGTGGGCAGCTTCTTAATCTCGTCTGCTGTTACTCAACACAGAGAGACAGTCAGATCTTTACTCAGCTATAGCTTCTGCTATAGTGCCTTTAACTTGAACAGCGCAGCAGTTTTTTGTTTTTTTTTTTGAATGAAATGTTCTTATTTCATATCCTTGCTAATTTTTTCACAGTATGGGATTTTTTTCCCTCTCAGCCCCTATGGAAAGCTCTACAGATTTTAATGTACCTTCTTAAAAGGATTATTGAGGGTGAAAGTTTTAAAATATTGTAAAACAGTACTTAATAAATTGTGTAAATAAATTGAGATTATTTAGATTTAAGTTAAAGAGGATCTAAAATAAATATGGCAAAACTATAGAGATCAGAGCAGATTTACAATGTTTTCACTAAATCAAACCAAATAATAATCTTCAGTTGTTATCAGGGAGGGTATAATTTAGAAATACTCCAAATAAACCATATGATTTGACATCCAAGAAACCCTTTCCCTTCCCTTAGTAAGCAGCAGACATTCATCTGCAGCATGGGTGGAACTGAAGGAGATTATGCTAAGCAAAATAAGTCAGAAGCAGAAATTCAAATAATTTCATTCATGTGAAGTATAAAAAACAAAGAAATAGACAAAAGCAAAACAAAGTCTTGATATCAGACTGCAGAACTGAGGCTATCATTAGGGGAGTGTGGAGTACTGGAACAAATCAGTCAGGAGTCCGATGGATCACGGTGGAGGATTGTTGGGACTTTGGTTGTGGTGTGGTGTAATAGCAAACATTTGTACACCTAAAACATACAGTTATAAAGCAGTGTTATCTGAATGCACATAATTTTTTTGAAAAGGGACACATGTCATCCTTCAATGCAGTTTTTCCAGGAATATAGAAAATGATTAAGTAATCCCTCAACGTTTTCAACCTGTGAGTCTGGAAACCAGAAAAGAAAAAAGTTGTTAATTTGCTTAAAGAACTGTGTTATTTGAAAAGCTATAAGCTTGAAATTTTTGTAGTAGCTGCAGACTTCACAAGGGTCACTTTCTTTGTTAGACCCCAAGCATGAAATAAGAATTTAGATACTTATTAACTGCTTTTATTGTGTGACTTTGGTCAGGTTGCCTAATTTTTTAAGTCTATACTTTTACCCTTTGTTTAAGACCTGCATTTTGAGTTGCTTTCTAATAGAAAGTACAGATTTTGTTGATCTGTCCACAGATCTTTGTACTACCAATAGCACACATTTATGAGAACCCATGGCCATGACCCAGTGATTCTTTTTTTTTTTTTTAAGACTTACCTATTTGTGCATACAGAACTGGGGTACAGGCCAGAGGGGCAGGTGAGATGCTTCACCAGAGACAGAGTGGAGAGCAGAACAGGCAGATCGACGATGTACACTGCTGAGGGGAGCAGCGGGTTAGTCAGGACATGTCTGCTGCTCCATGTGGGTCACCTCCATGGCTGGGTATTGAACTCATGCTGAAGTGGCTTTAGCTTCTTAGTGCTGTGCTTTAATCCACTGTACCACCAGGGAGGGCCCAGCCCAGTGATTCTAACCCTGACTTCCTGAGGAACTTACAAAATATGTTGATGCTTAGACTGCATCCAAGATCAAATAAATTATGTATCAAAGAAAAAAAAACACCTGTTTTACAAGTGAGAAAATAAGCTCACATGGGCTCCCATATTTGGAAATAAAGAGCTCTGATTAAAACTCCATTTCCTGAGGCCACCTTGGTGGCACAGGGGATTAAAGCACAGCACTATGAAGCTATCCATAGCTACTGCAGCAGGAGTTCGATCCTAGCCAGGGAGGTGACCCACATGGCATGGCAGACCTCTTCCTGACCCACCCGCTGCTCCCCTCAGCAATGTATGTCATTGATCTGCCTATTCTGCTCCCCACTCTGTCTCTGATGAGTCCTCTCACCTCCCCACACCTCTGGCCTGTAACCCAGTTCTAGTATGCATACATAAATAAATCTTTAAATAAATAAATCTTTAAAAAAAAAAAAAACCTCCATTTTCCATTTCCTGATAGCACCACCACCCAGTTGAGTCACCCCAGCGGGTTTACCAGTACTTCCTCGTGATAACTCTTTTGCAGCTTTATCAGTGAAATATTCATAATCGAAACTCAAACTTTATTTTACAGCCATCCATTTCAAGGCCAGTATTCAGTGTCAGACATGAAGTTAAGATTTTCACAGTGAGTATTTCAAGAAAATATAGGAAAGTCTCATGTCTGAATTTCTGCCATGTGTTTCTGTGCTAATTGGGAATTGTTTCTCTTCACTTGTTAGACTTGTGCTTCAAATAGTAACCAAATATGTGCATAACTTTCTGTAGCTCAGAAGTGTGTATGTTTCAAAGTGAAAACACTGCTGTTCAATGGAGAGTGGTGTGAATTAATAACAAGATCTACCATTTTTATTCTGGTGAAATAACTTTAGCAAATCATAACTAGAGAGAATTAGCCATACATTCCTGTGTCCTTACCACTTTTTGGCTCATTTGCATCTTTTAATACTTCATAAAAATGTATATGCTTAAAATGTTAGCACATTAATTTATGTATAGCAAATAATGAATAATTTGGCTTCTTTTCTCTATGGTAATTTGGGATGGTTATAAAGTAGTTATTGTGTATGTGTTTGTGAGAGAGAGTTTTTTGAATGTACTTAACACTTCTTTCTTTTACAGTTCTGTTCAAAATAGTGAACGTGGCAAAAAAATTGGAAGTGTCATGGTCACAACCAGCCGGAACGTTGTACAAACAGGGAAAGCTGTTGGTAAGTCATCCCTTTGACCAGGAACAGATTGGAGCCATTACACCTTCTTTTTTTTAATCATCAGTACACTGATAGCTAACCTCTAATGCCAGTTCTCCTCTTCAGGAATAGTGGAAATATATGATTCAGCTTAAATCTTTTCACTTTATCATCTGTTTGACATATCATTTTTAATTAACATTTTGTTTTAACAAAATTGACGCAGATAGTCTATATGGTTTCACTTGACGCATTATCATTTTAGATGACAAAAGCAAATTTCCTTACAGAAGCCTAATCATACTCTTCCCTATATAGGACATTGTCAGTTACCAACTTGGATTTAGTGTACAGAAGGCACATAACACTTTTTCAGCACCCCAAATGACTCAGGATGTACAGCCAATGTTGAGACTTAGCATAATAGCTTTTAAGAATGGAGTTTACTGGATACCTTCAGACGCCTAGGAGAGACATCTAGACAGAAATTATGCAATCTCCTCGTAGATATTTGCATACAAAAAGGATTGCTTAGAAACTAGAAATGTCCGTGGTATTTAGTAACTTAGTATATTATAATAAGTTAATACTTATTAATTAGCATTGGTCTTTCACTGTCATTTAACAAGAATAAAGACATTTTTCCCTCCTTTACAACCAGGCCAGTCAGTTGGAGGCGCTTTTTCCAGTGCAAAGACAGCTATGTCTTCCTGGCTTTCTACTTTCACCAACTCCACCCCCCAGAGCCTCACCGAGCCACCGGAAGGGAAGCCCTGAGAAGCGATCGGAGACTCTCTTGCCTTCTTAGGTTTAAGTGTTCCCCGTCTGTCTGCTGATCCCAGACTGTTCCTCTTCGTTGGCCACAGGTCCACAGCAAGGGTCTAAGATGTCGAACTGTTTACATGGACAGTGCCCTCTGTCTAAATGAACGTTGTAGGATGCTGGAAAGTTGAAATCGCAACCGTAGCAGAAGTGGCTTTTCAGGTTGGGGTTTAAATCGACTACTTTTCTTTCAATCTGAGCCTGATTAAAACACACAGTGAACCTTCTAATGAAATTTGAGTTCTGATCTTATACATTTGTTTACTTTAGAACAGTTTTTACTTGTGTAAATTTTGTTGTTTTGCTATTTGACTATCCAGATGGTCAGTGTAGTTTATATTTGCTAAAATTAAGTTATGTTACTATTTAAATTTCTCTAAAGCTGACCCTAAAATGTGCTTATATAGTTAAAGGGTCATACAGTCCAGCCCTTTGTTATATTTTGCCGAATCACATGACAAATTCTTTTCTTGCTTTCTGACCATAGAACACATTTACATTTATCAGTTCATTTACTCCCAGAAACATGGTAGTAGTTCTGAGGTTGGAATGGAATGTTTTGCTTCCCATTTTTAATTTGTTCTTTCCCAATCCTTAAAAATTTGCTTTAAGGCATCAAGAAGTCATGCTTTCTTCTTCTTCGTAATTGTGCAAATAGGTGTGCAGAGAAATGGCATGGTGACAGTTTCGGTGGTGCTGGAGCAGTTTAATGTGAATGTGCAATCAGGTCAAGATTTTAAACACCTAGGTGTCAGTTCTGTCAACTCTAATCATGTTGCAGTCTGTACAGGCATTCTTTAACACAAAGTTTGTGCCTTCTATTTTTTCTTTTAAGCAGTTTTCCATTGGGTGTTTACAGACCTACAGATTGTTTTCTTGACTACTCTTCATAAAGTTTTTCAAGGCATTTGGCTTTTCCTGACTGAAAAAACTCCTGCAGTTAATTCCTACCCTCTTCTAAAAGTATTTTTTAAAAATAATAGGATCCATTATACTAAGTAGACGTCTCATCTTAGCTAACATTTAGAAAAGCAAGATGCAAGGGAAGAAAACTACAGCCATGGCATCAGCCATGTTTCATAAAGCATATCTGGTTTCATTTTAGATCTGTGCAAATGTGTGCTAATTGCTGAATATTTTTAACAACTGGACCTCATCAGCTTTCATTTGCTTTTCAAGGGGACTTTGGGTGGGTAATCTCAGGGAGTACTTATGAGGAGCAGATTGCTTTTTCTGTAATGGATATTTGGAAAATACATTGAGTATAAAATACACATAATATAAAGAGAATTGGAAAACAAAGGGACCTACTTAACAAGGACTCTACTTATAGTTGATTTTCCTTTGAGAAATGTTTATGTAAGTAAGCCCTCTTAGGGCATGTGAATGGACATAGGGACATCATCTAAATATCTCTAAATTATCCAATTTGTATTTTGACACAAGTCCAGCAAATCTAAAAGCATGCTTCCATTTGAAGATAATAACTCAAGACTTCAGTAATGATAAATAAAAGGGCTTATTGTGAAAATTCCATTAATTCCACTTCCTCTAGGAACGATAACCTCAGGAAATACTATTTGAAGAGAAGAAAGTAATACCAAACAGACCTTAAAAGGCTCTTTAATCAGTGTTGCACTGAGACTATAAAGAATTCATTCTAACATCTTGTTTCATGAGGCCACATCATCAGTTGGAGTGTGATAGTGTATTGGTTTGTGATTATTATTAGCTCTCAGCTGCCAGTTCACAGTGCTCAGAGCTTAGCTGTAAGCTGCTGGTTCATGTGGTAGTTGTATGGTTTATATGGTTAGGGTAAACTCCCATCTCTCACTAATTCAAAAGCAGTTCAATCCACATTTGGGAGTCCCCTGAAATAAAAAAGCTACATGAAACTTAACTTTTAGTATCACTTGTTCCCCATTTTAACATAGACCTTCATTATTTTGTGTTATTCTTTCTAGTTAAGAGTTTAACTCTTAAAATGATCACTTAACTGATTTTCAACATAAAATGAATCTCAGAAGATAAAACGTTTGTCATAGAAATGGTCAAAAGCCCAAACATTTTCTCCTTCTGGGAGGTGCTGGAGTTTTCTGGGAGCATAGACAGGGGCCTCAGGACAGCCAGCAGAATTGAAGGCAGGAAGTGTGGCCACTGCCGCTTCCAACTTGGGTTCCAGCTGAGTGACCAGCCCACAAGCCGTGGCCTCCCTCCAGTCCCTAACTCCGAGCAGCCTAGGAACCAACATGGGGCCTTTGTGGGCATGTCACTGGTAAAGGTGTGTGCTTTGTTTGACCACATCTGCTTTTGTGTCTGAGAACTGAGAGTTAGGAAGTGGAGTGAAGGGGGTATTTGTGTGGTGTGCCAGGCACAGAGACTGCAGCTGTAGCTTGGTGTGGACTCACAAGCTGTCTGAGGGACTTAAAAGCAGCGTTTGGGGAAAGTTCCTGGCATATCTGGATGCCTGCCAGACACTATAGTGGCAGTGACATAGAAGAGGAAAGGAGAGTTAAAACCAGGTGATTAGTAAATGCATTGCTTGTCAAAGTAAAGCTTAGAGTTACTTTGCATATGCATTCGGCTTACATAACCAGTATGAATAGCCTATCCCTACATCCATTAGTGTTTTACTAGTCCCCAAACCTAAAACAACTCTTCTACTTTTTGCTTGGAGAAACCCAGCAGCAGTATCCTTGGAGCAAACTAAAGCATGTGACATCACTTCCTCAACCTTACCTTGCTTTCCCAGTTCTGAATTTCTTTTTTTTAACAAAATGATTTACTTTGGAAAGACAAGGAAAAAGCAAATTAAGAAGGGAAAGAAATGAACTGTTGCAATGCTGTTGAACCAAGGTACATAAAACCTGAATGAAAGTATTTTGAGAGCAGTATTGAATATATTAAAAATTACAAGAATCCTTTTAACAAAATGCTGACATTTTAATATGCTAGTTACAAGTTTTAAGGTGAAGCTGTAACATTATCTCCCTGGCAGGCAGGTTGGTTTTTACTTGATGTTTTTTGGAAGTTAACAGTTTGTGGTCCTTCTTCCTCGGGCCTGGTGATAAGGTTGGGAGCCCTCAGCTCTGTGGGGCCAGTGGGTTAATTCTGAACCACATGAACTTTTCTCTGCAATAGTTTAAGAAAGTAGTCCATTCGGACAGTCGCTGCTAAACTTTGCCTCTTAATTGTGTCAGGGGGTTGGTAGGGACTCAAACTGGCATTGGTATTTGCATGCTGGGATTCTTTAACCAGATGTGGCACGGCATCATGGCTTTCCCACTCACTTCTTTGGTGGCTATTAAACATGATTGGGAACGAAGCCCTAGTTCTAAAACGTGATTTTCATTCCACATAGCATACTGTGCCACTAAAAGTTTTTCCATTCCAAGTCTTTTTACCTCATAACATCGGAATTGTTTTTTCATAATTTCCAACATTCCATAAATATTTGTCAAAGACAAAGAAAAGGAATGTGAATCTTTAGTCTTTTCATATAAATAACTTCGTACACATGACTTCCTGCTTTCATTATGAAGAATAAACTAGCTCCCTTGTATACAAAATTAAAAGATTGTGCACGTATAAGGGGTTGAATATATTTTGTAAAACTAAGGCATTTGTATTTCTGTGCTGTTCTACAGTTTACCTTTTTACTTATATTAATTGAAGATATAGAAACTATATATTTAAATCATGTAAATGGGACACAATTAGGGATTTTTTCCTATCTTATTTTCCATCCATCAGCTTCTTTCTCTTGTCTCTCTCTCCTGCACACACAAATACACACACACACCGAGGATGCTGCTTAGATTTTTTTTGTGTGCAATATAAACATTTGAACATTTCAGTCAGGTACTGAGCCAGAAAAGATGTTGAAGTTTTCAGAAAGCTTCTGCACTTAGAAAATATTTTGTTTTCTTTAAATATTAATAATTTATAACTGGCAAGATAGGATCAAGACTTAAATGTTTCAGATCATTGTGTCATTGGTTTCTAAACTTAGAAAGTATTTGATTAACAAGTTGGCGAGGCATTTTGTGGTTACAAAAAGTTGCTTAAATATTCGAGATTAAAGGTTTTCCACAGCCCTTTCTAAGGAATTTTATCTGTGGCACATGTTTTGATGAGAAAGGAAGTTTTGCTTTGCTCTAGTAATTTTATAATTTGTACTACTTCCTTGTTTATCTTATGATTTCTTTAAGAAACGTTAAAATTATAAATCACGTCTAATCATACTGAATTGTAAAACTTATGCTGTATCTTTATTTTAAGGAAAAATGAGAATAAAATTATCCTGTTTGTCCTGTATTTGACCTGTCTTTTTAGAAATACCCTTTCTCTCCATGTCGTCAGTGTGATTTCGGGCTTATTCCTCAATCAGACAGGTTTGGGGATAATATGAACACAGTGAGCTGGAAGACTTGTTCATTTAATCTCTCATAGACTTTGCTTATGATGACACCTCAGTTTTTAAGTTGGTGACCCCTATAGGAAGGGTGCTTAGTTTATGTGAAATGCTAAATCCATGATACTTCACAAAGTACAACCAGCAATGGTTGTACATGAACCCTCAGGGAAATAGGATATTGTCTCAAGCAGCCCATTTTCTACCTGGACTAGTAAGCTTCAAAATAGCCCTTGGCATTCCTCCTGAGGAAAACAGCACATTTTCATATATAAGCCCCATGTACTATGGTTTTCGTACAGCCGTATTCCTAGAAATAGCAGCTTTGTAATTTACTTCATGAAGCAGCAGCAAACTGCCCATTGGGTTAGGTAAACTGAGTAAATTTACTTATATTAGTACTAATTCTTTGTGGACTAGTATACTTCCTTGAGTGCAGGGTTATGTTTAAGTTACCAGTGTTCTCTGACAGTGGTCCTTTAGCGTCACAGATCTGATGAGGTAACATGAGGACAACAGAGCTTGGCCACAAATACCTCCCCTTTCTTGATGATCTGCTTGGGCTGGGCTCCGGGGTCCAACTGTGATAAGGGGATGGTTCCCATCATCAAGTTCAGGGCTGCCTGCTCTTTCATTCTGATAGGATGGCGTTTGTAACTATTGAACCTGGTAACCTCTGGAAGGAGTGTGATTATGGAGCCCTTTCTTCATAAAGGCCTAAACTCTGCTCTGGTAATTTCCACAGAGCTGGGGAGCCACACTGTGGCAGGCCTGACCTGCCCAGCCTCATGACTGCTGCTCCTGTCAAGGCAGCTAAGGTCTGCACCTGCACACCTTGCACGATCATGGAGCCAGAAGCCACCGAACATCTTGGGGCAGATCAGAATGACTGTGCCCTTTGCATTCCATCCTGTGAACTTCTGCATTTGGAATTACTATGGATAACCCAATAACACAAAAATTAAGATCAAAATATTTTCGTTCTTTTAAATTTTAATTTTGGAGCTACATTTTCATTCCTCCGTGTATGCACGTTCCACTCAGCCTCCACCAAACCACCCGTGTCAATCCCTATCTGCCTGCCTTCCTCTGCTCTTCCCTCCCCGACTCTCCCACCCCTTTCCCTCTAGTCCAAGATTGATCCCTGCTGCATTTTGTCTGTATATATTTTTTGGTTATTTATGTTCTACAGATGAGTAAAGCCACCCGCAATCACTTCTTCATTTAACATAATCACCTTGAGGTCCATCCTTTTTGTTAAAAAAGACATTTCAAATATTTGTGAATGTATATGCTTTATCTTTCATTAAACTGTACTGCCTTTGATTTTGGCAGAAGTTAGATTAGCAGGTTTGATCAGCAACTAGACAGTGAAAGTGGACAGTGCAGAGACAGAGACAGCACAGAGGATAACTGAGCTGCTGTCAAATTACTCATTTGGCCAAAGTGGAAATGTGTGGCATCGCTGCTGTATTGATATGTTTAGATTTGGGTAAAACTTTTCTTCATGTAATTTATAATCAGGAAAGAGGAGTTCGTATATTTAAAAAGGCCATTTGCAGGTAACACCTGGATTTTCATGATAGAATTTGTTTCTGACAGACTTCACCAGATGAGCTCTGTTCCTCTCTGGGGAACAATTAGGTCAAAGTAGGACAGTGGAGAATTTGAAGAGTAGCCTTTCCACCTGCCCCTCTTGGCTGTGACCCAGAAAACAGTCACTGAGTGGCACTTCCTGTAAACCACTGAGACAGAAGTTAAACCACACCGTCCTCGGCTGCAGTAATCCTGAATTGGTTCTTTGTACAAGATCACCCATTAGACACCACGGCCTCTGTGCCCTCAATAGATCATTCTCAATGGAA